TGTATGTATGTATGTATGTATGTATGTATGTATGTATGTATGTATGTACATGTTTTATATACATACAAAAACATAATACATACATGTGTATAATGGTTGTATGTGTATCTATATTATATATATATATGAATGTATTTATATTATGTAATTCCATGTAGCGTTGGCCATAGACTGCACTATATCAGCCAAGATGCCTGCAGAATCATTACTGTGATGTGCCGTGCCCCTTTGGAATTGACACCAACAACACTTACTGGCAACCCGCATGAGAGCCCTTTTCCTCCACGTGTCCGCGCGAAATCCACAGCAGTACGCCATCAGGAAGTTTTTGCGGGATCATCCTACCCTGCGGAACCTTGCAACAGTCGCAGTACTTTACTGCGCACACCAAAACTCAAGAGAATGGGGACCTCCTCCGAACCGGAGGAAGATCCACTTCCAGGAGAAAGCAGCTTCCAGAAAACACCAAACGGCTCCCGTGATGTCTGGCGAAGTCGAACAACTCGGACACATGCAGATTCTTTTGGCTTTGAAGTATCACACGATCTGAAAGGCTACTGATTCTCCGTGCACTTTCTGGCGGAAGAAACTGGCCTTGTTTCGCTCTCAGCGTTTGCTGAGGCCGGCAGGACAGCCGCCACCGGAAGTTTGATTGCAAAACGGGACTCCTCCAAACCGGAAGATGACCCGAACTCTGATGAAAGAAATCCTGAACCAGTTGTTCGCCTAAAATACGGTAGAAATGAACACCAGGGATTTCTTCCAACGTGAGTCTTCAAGCTCAGAGATTCTACGACTCCAGCGGCTCCAGCTACTTTGCTGCATCTGTAAGCTACCTGCGGGACTGCATCTGTAGCTTGTAGTAGACCCCTTTCAAGGCCATAAGCTCTCCATGTGTGCCGGACTCGACCACACGCCCGTCGGCGTTCACCAAGATCACCTCAGAAAGCGCACTTATTCGATGACTCAACGACCCAAGAAATACTATATAACAAGACTTGGAACTTCTCCCACCCCACCTCCCACCACCTTCCCAAAACTACCCACAAGTCCCAAGTCGGGCGCCCGCACGTCGCAGCTCTCAATGGTCGACAAGCGATGGGCAATGGCGAAGGAGGTCCGGCCCTCGCGCGCAGCGTTCAGCGCCTCCTGGACGATGGCTTCGCTCTGCGAGTCCAAGGCACTGGTCGCCTGAGAGTGAGAGTGGCGGTCGCACACGCGCTCGCGCCCAAAGGGATTCGTCTGATCAAAGAGTGGAATAGCCCTTGAGCGACCCTCGAGAGTTCTTGCCCACATCAAGAGGTGCCACACCCATAATGCTTTAGGATCATTTTGGGTTGGGTTGGATGGCGATGTGGAGACTTCCCCATTGGCATCAGTAGGAGCATGTGGAGCAGTAAAGTCTTTGAGTACTTGACCCTCGTTGTTCGTTGACCCGCGTAGACACGTTTCCAACAGCATCCCACAGAAATCACGGTTCCACATGTTCTTCTTCGGCCTCCGAACAAGTCCCGGCACACAGGGAGAAACGTTTAGCGCCTCATCCAGCAGCATCACTGCAGGGTTCCGCATCAGCGCACGGCAGATGGCCACACGCTGCTTCTGCCCACCGGACAAGCGGCTGCCACGGGGCCCGACCTCCGTGGCCAGTCCTTGATTGCCGGACCTTGGGCCGAGGAGGCCATGCATCCGGAGGCATGCAAGTCGGTGGACCCATTCAACGTTTCAAGTCTTTTCTTCAAACTGGTCGGGCTCCAGCGGGATGAAAGGCCTATTGCTTGAAGAGCATGAGAATATGATTGAAGAAACAACTTCTGTCAGAAATGAAACGATTGAAAGACTCACTTTCAGATCTCAAAGCGGCTTGTAGAGGAACTTCAGATTGCACATCTTCTCGCACTTCTTGATATATTCCTCATCCACATCACCGTCCACCCCATAGAGGATGTTGTTCCGCACGCTGGTGTTGAACAAGACGGGCTCCTGCCCGACAAACCCGATCTGCTGACGCCACCAGCGAATGTTCAGCTCCGCCAGCGGCTTTCGGGCCTCGCCAATGTAGACAGATCCTTCCTGCGGCGGAGGCTAATGTCGGGGGGCGGAGATGGATGAAAACTGGCCAGGGGACCAGTCAATACGGATGTTTGATGGATCAGATCAGGGACCCGATTCGCACAGTTTTGGATTCCACACACCTTTGTGAGATCTCGTCCTGCGGGTCATAGAAACGCTGGATCAAAGACATCACTGTGCTCTTCCCACCTCCAGAAGGCCCGACCAAGCCAACAGACTGGCCCTTGCGAATCTTGAAGTTCACACCCTTGAGCACTTGGATTTCTGGTCGGAAGGGGTAGAAGAATTTCACCTTTGTCTTGCTGAACTCACAACAATGGAACATCTATATATATATATTATATGTATATCCCTGCGTAAAAAAATAGCATGATCATCCTGGGCCACCCATTTAAAAGAGGACCCGTGTACAAAATGACAAGGTTTATATCTGGCTTTACAAAATGATATGGTTTCACCCCATAAATTATGTTTACAATATGACTCATCTGAATGTGCACATCTCAAGGCATGAGAAACAAGCGTTGTCTAGAGAATGACCGATTTGAATTGCTGCTGAATGCCCAAACAGGACCCAACGGCGTCTCCGATTAACCTCACACTCAGTCACACTCCGGGGCGCATGATTTTGCAGAGGAATTGTCAGGCTGACCCCCGGACCCAGCATGTGCGTTTTGTTTTACTGTGATCGGATAAATAGTCAACCCGAAACAGGACCCTACTTCTCCATGTCTTCTCCTAAAACAAGATGGCACAATTTCTATGCTCCAACAGGAGCAATGGCCCGGTCTTTGTTCATGGGTGCGCCCAAAAAATTCTACAAAAGTGTGACATGAGAGACGCCCTACAAAATCAGGAGGGGGGGAATGATTTCAGGTGCAAAGTTGATCACTAGTCACCTGTTTATGAAGTCACCAAAAAAAACAAACAATCATATTGCGCACTCGAAACTGAAAAAGATCCTGTTACCGGAGCTCTGTATCAATGACTGGCTGCGCAACTGCAGGAAAAGAATCTAAATATGATCTTGTTGGGTAGTATGTTGTTTCTTCAGCAATTTTGAAGAGCCTTACTGTATAGCCTTAGGATTTCGTCCATTGGACTTGTGGACAGGGGGTTTCTTAAAGAATGTCTCTTTGGTTCTTGTCCCAGAAGGGGTTTGTGGAACAAGCATTTTGTAGAAGAAAATCAGGCCAAAATTGGTTTCAGTAGGTTCAATGCCTCTGACACGCATTCCGAACCGACTCAGCCCTCTTCCTGTACAAAATATAAAACAGTGGACGGCAAAACATTTTACCAACCATATGTTTCTAGGGTCATTCGTCACACCCAAACACAATTTTTTTTTTATGACTATAGAATGGAGGTGCCTGTTGGCCGGCTTTTGCTATAGAATGACCGCGCCCATTTTTTGAGCTAGGACACGTTTTCTACAAAATAAGCTCTTCAAAGGAAATTGGGTTTTCTAATTGTGTAGGCGAAATATTAGCAGTGAAGTATATATACATTCTTATTATATACTTACTATATGGAGGGCAGCGGCAGCAGGGTCTCAATATATCGCCACACGCCTCCAAGTCCCTCAGCCTCTATATCCTGCTGCGACTGCTCTCCAGCCTCTCCGCCTCTACGTCTAACGTGGTCTTCCGTGGTGCCTCAAACCAAAGTGGGGACTATCGCTGAAGCCGCAGGCCGGCGTTGTCGCTGCTTCCTTGAGCGCCACACGAACGTGAATCTTCTCCGGACTGGCTTTCGAATCCCTCGCACATCTTTCTGGCTGAAGGTCGAGGTCACGTAGCTGGAGACCATCTCGATCATAAGCAAGTCCTCTGCTACGCCTGCAGGAAAGGACGCACATCAGCCTGGCAACCACAAGCGCAAAGCCACCACGACCTCCCACATGCCGGGCGAGTTGCGGCGCTCTGTGTTTGTGGACTGGCAAGAGATGCTTGCTTAATGTAGGCTGTAGGTCCGGTCTGACCGAAAATTGAACGCAATCTCTTCGAAACAGCTTGACCTGCACCGCACGGTCATGATTGAAACAAAACACACACAAGAATTACAACAGCGAATCCAAGCGCTACAGATCTTGCAAAGCCTGGCCACAACACAAGCAGAAACGGGCTTCTGGTACACGCCGCTTCCCACAGCAACTGCCTTGCGTCTTGAGATGCCGCTTCCACCGCTCCAAAGACTGAGCACAAACGCTTGAATGGGCAATGGCAAGAACACGTACACTTCAATCTCCGAATGCTGAAACACATATCTTCTGACAATTGATGGCGACAGCTTGCAAAGATTTGCCGTGGTTCAGGAAAACAGGCATGGCTTGCCAGCGGCCACGCAGCCACTGCATACAGAAGACTCAGCCCCCTCCCGCACCACCGTGGCAGGCGAGCATCGGGCTCCTTTCTGGTTGTTGTGCTGCTGGTAAGCACAGAGGGCATGCGAGATCGCCTGGTCGCTCTAGAGTATGCTGTCTCCGTATGCCGGCTTGCCATGAACGTGCTCACACAAATTCAGAGCCTAGGTGGCAAAAACTTGTGCATCTTTGCGAGCTTCTGCTTGGCGATCTTCGACCGCAAGCACTGCACTTGCATCTTGGAGCAACTTTCTCTTGCAAGTGGGCTCCTAGCCAATGGTCACCTATCTACACGAGTTCCTCGAAATTCATGGCCGCCAATATATATATATATATACAACTTCCTCCAACCTCAAACTACAGCCCGTGCCAAAATTGCTGAGGCGGGTGGCTTCGGCACTTAGAGCCTTTGGTTTGGCTAAACGTATTCCGGATCTAGAAACCTTTGACGGTCTTTGACGCTTAAACACTTAGGCGCTTAGAGGCTTAGGTGCTGGCTTAGGCACTCTGAGACTTCGTACTCTTTGGTGGCTGATCACTTAGGCGCTTAGAGGCTTAGGCACTTAGGGGCTGGTGGTGATTTATCCCAACCCCTCAGGCTACTGCAATGTACAGACAGTATACAGATATGGTATATGATACTATTAAACATATATAATATCATATATGTATATACCTTGCTTGTATTTAGAGCAGTGTCTCTCCAAAAAGCATTAAAAAAACAAAAAAAACTGAAGCACACTACAGAAAAAAACAAAATGACCTCTCAAGCAATCTAAGGTCGCCTGATCAAACTCGATGGTGCCAGCCTCCAAGGCAGTTGGCCCACTGGGCACTTCTCCCTTGGGCTCCATGCCGTCAATCTTGGAGGCACGGTCCAACAGCTTGAACATGTCATGGCAAGCCACCTTGGCCTCACCAAAATGGATGCAAAGCCAGGTGTTGCTATGAGCCTGCTACATTGGATGCATGTCATGAATTCTTCAACTTGGAAGATCCGGGGCTGAGTAACGGCCACCCCTTTTGGGTCCAAAAAGCCCAGCTGCTCTGAATACAGGCACCCAGGAGAGGGAAATTTAGCGTAACAGAGCAGCGTGTGTTGTGTTTGTCACTTTGCGGTTGGAGGAAGACATGTCAACTCTGCTTGTTTCATCCTACCAGTTTTACTCTTCTGCAACTTCGCGCGCTCAGCGCCTTCGCTGCATCACCTATGAAAACTGCCGACTGCCCAGCACCCAAGCCAGCATAGAAGACACCCATGAAGGCCATCATCGTATCACTGAAGGTGGCGACACCCTCCCTTCGGAGGACGGAAGCGTAATAGAAGCCTCCAGCAATGACAAAGAACATGACTCCAGATGCAATGCCAAAGCCAAGCCCGGCCAAGAAGTTACGCTTCCACATGCCTTCAGTCGATTTCCCCACCAACGTCGCATACATCTGCACTAAATTCCTCTCCACATTCAAGGCTTGAACCGTGCGAGCATTCATGACGGAATCGCTCACGATCTGTGCTGCATGTTTGATCCCTTCATTGTCCACCTTGGAAGCGCCCAGCATGACCAACATCTGCACGGCGTTGGCGGCGACCATGATGGGCACGGTGCCCAGCATCACCAAAGCCATCTGCCAGCAGTAGACGAAGGCGATGATGAGACCCACCAAGACGGAGCTCAGGGCCGCCGCTTTGGCGCCAATGGACTTGCACAGCGTGCTCACACGGAAGGCCCAGATCTCCAAGGCTTTGGACATCATGCCTGGGCCGCAACAGGGGCGTTGCGCCTGAGCGCAGGCCTTTGACATCCCAATCGTGGTCAAAAAAGAGTCAACAAAACCTTTCACGGGGTGGTGGACAGGTGCCACTTCTTGGTGAGGTGGTTTTGCTTGGACGAGACCTTCCGGGCCTGGTGTGTTTTCTGGATCGTCGTGGAAGCCAATCTCTTGTCGAAAGATCGCCTTCAAGATGGCCACTCGAAGCCGGCAGGTCATGGACTCGGCCAGAAGAGCAAAGCTTCCATGCTCGATGACACAACCCACCAGGACAGAGACCGCAATGATCAGAAAGACCAAGCACAGGAAGAGGATTTCTTCTCGTGCCTCTGATGTGAGACCCATCTGGCCTTTTGTGGAAGGTTTGTTGTTGATCGTTTTTCCCCTGTGGTGATCAGTGTCGAAGGGTAAGACCATGGAAATTGATGAGTCTATGGTTGAATGTTCAGCTGAGAAGAATATGGGGTGGACATAGGATGAAGGATTCGCATCGGCTAGCATCGGCATTGTCCGATGTGATCGGCTTGTGGACTCCAAATCTCCACAGATCTCCCTAAATCCGGCTCCACGCCCACTCTCCCACATGCTTCAGCTATGGCCTCCTCTCTGGTTGCCGGCACTTGAAGCTTGAAGAAGGCATCCATGGATCCCACCAAGGCAACGGCACACACCGGCATGGCAGCACCTTCGATCAAGGCTCCAAGGATGGCAGGCACGAAGAAAGGCCATTCCGGCTTGTTGTAACTCATGAGCCGAGACATAGGCACCTACAGAAGCCGGTCTGAACACAGCACTTCAAAACCAGGAAAAGAATCCATGAAACATCGCGAGAAGGTTGTGTGGGCCGCGATGATTGACAGGAGGCTTTATGTGATTTGAGACCCATGCCACACCTTGTAGTTGTCATTAATACTCTTCTGACGGTCCTCTTCCTCCTTCTTCTCCCGCTCCTTGCGAGCCAGTTCAGATTCATCACTCTCCCCAGAATGCGCCCTCATCAAAGCCACTGTTGGCTGGTGTGGGATATCCGGCTCATCCTCCTCGCCTACCTTCTCTGAGGATTCTTGCGCGGCAACCAGTGCGTAGTAGACGCCCTTGCGGTCCATCAGACTTTCGTGATTGCCCTGTTCGACCACCTTCCAAGGACAGAATCAACAAAAGCAGCTTCATGCGTTGCATGCGTTGTAAAAACCTACCAAACAAGACTTAGACTTCGTTGATCAATCCATACATGCAAGAAACCCTCACAGGCAAGATCACTGTTTCCGGTGAGAGTCTGATTGGTGTATCCCACATTTCATCAAACCTAGATGTGGACGCTTCTGCTTCCAAAAGGAAACACACCTCGCCCCTGCTCAAGACATAGATCAGGTCAGAGTTCCGGATGGTGCTCAAGCGGTGGGCAATGCTCACGATACCCAAGCGACGGGTACCTTCGCCCTTGCTGCTGATGCTGTCGATGGTCCTTGCTTCAATGAGGCTGGAATCCCACAAGCAAATACGGGCTTACCAAGAAATATTGTTTGCTGCCACTCACTTTGGGTAGAACAAGACAACCTCTTGGTCACCCTCTAAAATTCAGTCTGTCCAAATGGATCGTAGCTGAAAGAAAGAATCCCTTGAAACATGTTTAAGACATCCAGGAACTCCCTCTTTGGAGCCATCAGGTCCCTCTTCAGAGTCCACAAGTTTCTTTCTCTTCACTCCGAGGATCTGCTGGATCATCTTCTCAGAGGTATTGTCCAATGCACTCGTGGCCTCATCCAAGAAGAGGAAGGACGCCTCCTCACCAGGCTGTGAATCACGGGACGAACCGTGCTTTCCCCTTCAATGAAAGGATCTAGATGAGGTTTGAGAGGGACTGATGATCTGTTCGCGGCCCTTTGGCATCTCACAACATGCTTTGGGGACGAAGCGAGGCTGTCTTTTGCGAAGCTGCAAAACCATGTCGCGGCCAAGGTGATGGCCAAAACGCTCTCCTTCAGCAAGGCTCGGGCCAAGGCGATGCGCTGCTTCTGCCCACCCGAGAGCTGTCCACCGCCAGCCTCGAAGCACATCTGGTCCGAGCTCCGAGTGGATTAATGGAATTGACCTCAAAACCCTTCTGGAAAAAGAGTGCTATGTGGCTTTAATCTGGCCTTCCAAGCATACTTGTCACATCTGGTAGCACCGCTCTGTTTGGTACATTGGCTGATTCGAAGCTTTTGGAACCGTGTCGTTGCGTGTCCAGGTGACTAGCTCTACATTCATGCCCTGTGATTGAATTATTTCTATTTGTTTGAAATCATACAGTTGCAGGTCTGGGAGTGTGGATTAAAGTCTGAATAGTGTCTATTCGATTCAAAACACTCAAACCTCTGTGTCTGTGTCTGCAATGATCTACAACTGAAATCTCGATCTCCCCAAACTGCATCCAAAGAAATGTCCCTGGCACAGCACTTGCGCCAAGGAACTCCCACAAAGGTATTGTACTTCTCCGGTAAGTTCTCGACAAAGCCCAGCTGTGCATCGGCACAGGCTTGTTGAAACTGTTCCTTGCTGGCCTCCGGATTCCCTTGCATGATGTTCGCCCGAATCGATTGGGAGAACAGCACCGGCTCCTGCCCCACATAGCCAATACATCGTCTTAAGGAGCTGATCTTGAACTTCCGCATGTCCTGCCCATCGACAGAGACCATGCCTGAGCTTGGGTCGTAGAAGCGTTCCAATAGGGCCATGATGGTGCTCTTTCCGGAGCCCGACTCCCCCACAAAGGCCACTTTCTGACCCCGCTGGATCGTCAAAGACACTCCGTTCAAGATCTTCACGCTGGGCCGAGCCGGGTAGTGGAAGTGCACTTGATCAAATGCAAAGTTCTCGATGCTGCTCAACTCTTGCCTGGCAGCTCCGAGACTGGAAACCACCCAGAAAGAAGGATGTGTCATCCAGAAAGACCTTCTCACGACTTCCCGGAAACCCTCAGACATATACACATATGTATGTATGTATGTATGTATGTATGTATGTATGCATGCATGCATGTATGTATGTATGTATGTATGTAACGCACGTTTATGCTAATGGGCTTCAAACCGCGCGTGTAGTGAAACTGATTTTTCATACAGTCCTTTGGGGGGGCAAGAACACACACAAACACACGCATTGGAATATGGAAGATGGGGAAACGGGGGGGTTAGGGGGGAGGGGGGGTTGGGTGGGGGGCTAGTGATGTTCATGTTGTGCGTATTTTTATTAGGAAGCCACACACGCACACGCTGTGGACGAGGGGGTGGGGGTGAGGGGTAGGTTCCCCAAAGTGGCAGCATGTGGCAGTGAAGTACACTGGACCTGATCGAAAACACCAAGTAAGACCCTGCAGGTACTGGGCTTGAGCCACATGAATTAAGCGGCTGCTGACTGAAGAGAATGTATGTACAAGTAACTACAGACAAAAGGTGCTACACACGTATAGTATAGCGTAGACACGCCTAGGGGAACCTAGGACCCTACAAAACACAGGGGGGTTGGGTAGGGGGCTAAAGACGTTGCATCATAGCGCATACGAAGATAAAGCCAGACACACACACACAGACAGGTCGGTACGCACAGGTGGTCGGGGTGTGTCAGTTCTTTTTTTATCCGTCGACGCATGGAAACCTGGCGTGGTGGTTACCGACTGCTTGCTTATTCCGAAGTGTTCGGGGGATTGTCAGATGCTTGAGGTCAGGAGAGCTGCTCATCCACACCGGTGCCATTGATGGTATGTGGCGTTTGTGTAAGGAGTCGGTCCCCACTAGCTTGCGTTCACGTGAAGGTGACGGTATAAACCCAAACATCATGAAGTTCATTCGACAGTGGCAATGGCGCTGGCACCAGAATAAATACGATCTTCTGACGAAGCTGGGTCAGAAGTTGTCCCACAGACTGTGATGATGATGCTGGAGGATGAAAAATCGCGCCTTTTTCGCACAAAACCACAGTCTCGTAGCATTTCGATCTCAAAATCGCAACGATTTTTGAGTTGTTTTCATGTACTACATGCTGCAACAAACCTCTCACATCAATGCAAAACACAGTCACACACCGGACATTCGTCATCATTGACCACGTGAAGATTTGACAAATGTCTTCAACCGCACGCGCGGAAACGAACCCGGCGGGATGTTTATGTATATGTACATAATTGTATGTGTATGTATATTTATATATAGTTATTGGACGAACTGAATCAACAAGTCAGGGATAGTCCACAGTCCACCTCTCATCCTCATCTCTTCTCTGAATGGCAGGCTTTGCATCATGGACTTGGAAGAAGCGACCTGCAGCCATCTGAGCTGCTTGGAAGGCCTGGACCGACATGAAACGACGCTGAACGACGCTGGACGCCTCATGAAGCGAACGGAAAAACACGGTCGAACCGACCGGCAGCGACCGGCCACCGATCGCAGGGGCTTCCTCCCCAGGGACCAAAAACCATTACACAAAAGGCTCGCAGGTGAATCCAGGCCTTGAAAATCTCACAGTGGGAAAGAAGGTTCGTTTCTTCAGGGATGGCCCTTTGATGGCTCGCAACACCTGTTTGGTGCTGAAGCTGAGCAAATGCATTGCAAAAACCCTGTGCTTGAATAGGAGTCCGTCTACAGGAACAACACACCTAGCTCCCGCAGTAGTATGCGGAATGTCATCAGTTCGCTGGCGAAACTATACCCCAGGATTCTCGAATCTACCACCAAGTCAACGAGTGTTTCAAGGCTGAAACCGCTGTGGACGAAGAGGCCAACTATAAACAGAAGAAGAAGAACTACATGTTTGGCAACGATGAGTGGAACTTCCCTTGCCGATTGTTCAAGCAGTGCATTATGTGCATTATGCATTCTTTATGTTTCTAGGGTACAGAAGCAACATTAAAACATATATATATAATATATAATATCTTTCAGAAAATATGCTCAGCAAACACCTTTTGTTTACCTTTGAGCCAAAGCGTATACCAACGCGTCTGGTTGGACTCTTATGTAGAGGTGAAAATTTCAACACCCCTCCTTCAACACTAGGGTAGTTTAACTACACTTGTGATGATTCCAAAGTCTTTGCACCTAGAGCTTTTTCCAGCTCTGAATTCTTGACACAATGTTTTCATGTGTCGTTCACATGTCTCTTTGTTCACAGGCTTTGTACACAAAACAGCTGTGCTGTGCTTTGTTCCAATCGCTACGATCTTCAAGTCATTCGATGCCACTCTTTCTTGTAGCCATGGGTATCTCGTCTGTACATGTCGAAGTTTACCTAAACCTCTTCTGCTTGCTGTTCCTCTGGCTGCCGATGAATCGCTATGAATTACCAGTTCGCATTCATCTCCCCAATCCTGCTTTAGAGCCTTCACGCTTAGTCCTATAGCCGAAGCTCTGACAAGAGCATAGTATTCACTCTCTCCTGAGCTGAGTGATATAGTGCTCTAAAGATTTGATCCATGTTTGATACAATGACGACCAATGGACACTGTATATCCAGTCGTACTTCTTCTTGTGACAAGACATCCAGCATGGTCACCGTCGCAATATCTCTTGATGATTCTTGTCTCACGTTGTGGGTAGAACACGTTCACTACTCTTGGCTTCCTAATCTCTTCAGGTCTTTCATGTCTGCTTCATTTGGCGATTTCATCTTTCTCGTCAACGACTTCACCGCTTCACTTAGGTCAGCTCGATCCTGTGCAAGAAATTGCGCTCTCATCACCAGGCTTCTGAAGAAAGTTGTTTGTTCTGCCGCTAATGGTGGCAGTCCCATCGCCGCAAGAACATCTGAACTTTTCTTCTTTTCTGCTGGCGTAGCAACCGCTTTCGATTCTTGCAGGTTTAACTGTCTTATGATCATTTTAGCGTGTCTCGGGTCAGCTTCATACATTACGGCGCCCGTTTTCCGGTCATAACTGACAATCCTGTTCAGAATTGTAAGGTGCTCATTGGCTTCTTCTCCGATTGCACCGTCACAACGGTATTCGTACCTTTCGCTCAATACCTTCTGCATGAATGTTTGATCCTCTGCGTCTCCAAGCACTAAGAAATCATCTCCATGAATCTAGGAGTTTGATATCTCGGTCTTTGTGCCTGAACACTGAAGTCCATGCGCTTCCCTGGATGAAGTTGTTGTTCTTCAAGTGGCTGCTATAGTCATCTTGCCAGACATGAGCAGCGTCTTGAGTTCCGTACATTGTTTTGAGCAACAATGCACACATACCTTCTTGCTCATCGCCTGGTGAGATATCGCACAATGCCAGTTGCAGTGCTTTTCCGCTTCTACTTTTCTTTCTGGTAGCAAGGTCGCTGCAAAGTAACTTTGCTGCCTCCAGAGGTGGCATGTTCGAAAACAACATATGTCTTGGAAGTGCGCCATGTTGCTTCTTGATCTCTCTCACCACTATGTGTGAGCGGTAATTTGGACGTTCTCGATCCCCTTTGTTTCGGTCTATCCATTTTAGAGTGATTGGAGGTTTTCCGGTAACACTCCAACACTCATCCAATGGCCGCTTCTCGTAGATCTTGGCTTTGTGCACCCAAGCTAATTCTTCCTCACGCGCTTTCAGCACTCCTTCTGTGGAAAGTTGTACACCAGTAACATCGTCGTAGAATATCGGGTCTTCTTCTCCTGTCTTTCCTACTTTCTTCTCTGAGCATGTTGGTAGAAACTCCTCTTCGTAGTCTTCCAGGCGCGTGTCTTCATCTGGGCTTGGTCCTGCTTCTAGCCAGTGAATTTCTCTGTATTCACCATCTTCTTGCATCTGCCGTTTGATTCCTTTGACAATGGCCTAGTTCCGGAGGGTAAATCCGAGCCATTTTTGCTCTGCCGTTCACCAAGTGAACATGCCGATGCCAACCTTTTCCTGGAATCTCGTTGCTACAGACTCCTTCCAGTATCTCTGCCAGTACTGGGGAATTGGTCAGCCATTTGGTCTGCTTCTTCACGAAGGATTTTCCTGTTGCGTCACTAGATACCATTTTCCACCGACACATCGGTCCTTCTATGGTACGCACAACATCCATGTCGGCCAACTTCTCTATGCATCTTTCTTTCCAACTGCTGGCCGTCTTCGGGTGTTCATGTGAGAAATATCGGCCTCTTCGGATCTGTCTCTCGTAAAACTCGCACGCCGTCTCAAGCATCTGTTTTCCATCTTCGAGGCGTTGCTGCGCCACTTCACGATCTACCTTTCCCTTATTGAGATTCTGTAGTGGTGAGAACGGACCACACGGTGGAGACCCAGTCAGTAGATATGGGTCTTCTTCATCAACAACCTTTTCGAGTTCCTTCACCTGAGTCTTGTCCAACAGGTTCCAACCGGTTTCAAGGTCGATTGCATAGCCTGGGAGTAATCCGTAGGCTTTTGCATTTGTCTGTGAATCTCGGAGGCGAAAACACCTCTGTGACGTCATGGGCTCCTAACGATTTCAAATCTGATATCAACTCCTCGTCAACTTCTGCTACAGTACTCAAGTGAAACAATGATTGAACGTCTCTGGGAACTGCGGGCGACCAAAATTGATCGTAGCTAAGGTTCGAACCAGGCGCTGCTGAACCTGATGCTGCCCCTCCTGCTGAAGCAGCTGAAGGTGCTGCACTGGTTCCTGTTGGCTCTCCGATTGAAACAACCGAAGGTCCTACATCTCCAATCTCGTCATGGTACAGGTCATCCAACGAACTTCCAGCTCGCTTCTCTGTCTGCACGGTCTTCGCTTTCTTTGGGCTTCCTCCTCCTTCTTTGCTCTGACTCCTTTTGGAGCTTTCTTCTTCCGGCCGTCCAAGTGCAACCGAAGCTCTCACTTCGCTCTCAGTTGGATCTGGCAATCCTGTGATCGCAGGCTTGCTTTTCTTCTCCTTATCTTGCTCTTGCCTTCTTTCCACATCAGCCAGCCTCTTCTTACCTTCTTCTGTCTTTTCGAGGCGCTGTCCAACCCTCATTCTGCATGCTGCATTGTGTGTCACTGCTGGCAATCCAATCATCAATGCTTCACAACCTCTACACCCTGGAGTGTAGTCCATCGCGCCGTCTTCGAGCTCCAAGTCCTTCTTCCGAACATAGAGCTGTCTCGGTCCTCCATCTCGTGTACTCGGAGTCAATCGGTGCGTTGTCTCCGGAAGTTTGATGCGCAACCTGTGTTCCACACCTTCTTCACTTCTTGGACGGAGTTTCCATGGGACTCCTTTCAAGTCCTTCAACTCTGAACGATCCCAATCGCTCAGCTTCTGGCTTCCGATGGATTGTGTTTCCTTTGATCACACCTGGGGTTGTCATCACCAGGACGTCTGCATTGCGTCCATGTGTTCCAACGTAGTGGCCGCTCAGAACTCGTCGGCCCAAATCGCCTTCCTTTCTCTCTATCTCGCTGTCTTTCGACTTGTATGCATCCAACGGTCTGAAGTAGATCCTCTCTCCGAAAGTCACCATTGGTCGATTCCACTTTCGACCTGTTAATCTTTGATATGGAGTTCTTCCATCATCCTGGATTGCAAACCTTCCCAAACAGAACGACGCATGTCTGCTTAGCCAGGTCAACAAAGGATGAGTGTCCTCCAACTTGCCGAGGTTCTCCTCGAGCTCACTGAGCAACGCTCGTGCTTGCCGCTTTTCGTCTCGGACTGCTACTTCCACCGATCCGTTTGCACTGTGGTCGCCTGTCGGCGATTCCTGCATGATGATCTCCACATCTTTTGCTTGTGCCTTCACTTCGTTCTTTAAGGCAAGAATGGCCGGTTCATTGTCACTCGTCAAAATGAGCCTTTTGTAGCCGGTTTCGTTCAGACAAGCCAAAATGAAATTTACGCTGAACGTGTCTGGCCCCTTTGTCGGGATAGTGGTTGCCCAAACCATTTTCGACCTGTTGTCTTTCACCTGGATGTTTGCGTCTCCCCGTCTTTGTCCCCAAAGAAAAAGTAGTCTATTGAGACGATTGGCAGTTCGCTCTCTTCGTCTCGTGAAACTGTCGAGCGCTTTGCGTATGTAGCCCTCGCTCTCATGCAATGTCCACACCACGATCGATGCACCGCATGTGCAGTTGCTTGGTGCTCCATTAATTCCTGTTCAGTTGGGTTTGTCACGTTTCTCGCTACCTTTGGTTTCTGGCTTTCTGTCGGCTCTGCAGGCCCGACCGAATCGGTCGAAGTTCCCACTTCGCCGGTGGTTTTCATCTCTAACGGGCTTACAGCTTGGCCTGCCGGGAGTTTCCCGACATGTGGCCTTTCATCTCTTCCGGGTCAACCCAATAGTCAAACACGTAAACTCCCCTTTCGACTCTTAGCTTTGTAAACACCACAGTCTTCTTCTTTGAGGATCTTGTGGATTGACTCTCGAA